ATGAATGCGCACGCACGCACGCACGCGCGCACGCACGCGCGCGCATACCATGGCTACGGGTTACACGCACGTGCACACGCGTAGGCATGCGCACGTACCACGGCTACAGTTACACGCGCATATGAATGCGCACGCACGCACGCACGCGCGCACGCACACGCGCGCATACCATGGCTACGGGTTACACGCACGTGCACACGCGTAGGCATGCGCACGTACCACGGCTACAGTTACACGCGCATATGAATACGCACGCACGCACGCACGCGCGCACGCACGCGCGCGCATACCATGGCTACGGGTTACACGCACGTGCACACGCGTAGGCATGCGCACGTACCACGGCTACAGTTACACGCGCATATGAATGCGCACGCACGCACGCATGGATGCACACGCACCCACGTTCAGACTAAAGTATAAGGAAGACTACGCATGCACACTTGTCGACAGATGCCACGCGATACGACAACTTTGCGAGATGCAAACACTGGCCGAAGCGAGCTTTGCAATGCTACCGAGTGCACTGTCAAACTCTTCGCTGACATCTCAGAGACAGACGACGACAAACAGACAACACTCACGTCTGTCGCGTCTGTAACGTTCTGAGTGATTGCTTTTTGCAGTTCTCAGTCACACGCATCGTAATGGTGACTTCGCACACAAAGTTGCGACGTGGCATCGCAGTATGCTTTACTGCATTATGTAGGGTAACTACTCTATGGGTTGACGTTACTAGGGGGGATTTACGGCAGGTAAAGTTGCAACACCTAGGTAGTCGACAAGGTACGGGACACATTCACACGTGTCATGCTGATAGAGAAAAAGAGAGAAACAGACACGATTGTTCGAGACAACCTAACCAAACCCACTCTAACTTGAACAAACCCAATCTAACCACACCTGTTATTAACCCATTCTAACCAAATCCAACCCAATTTAACCTGCACCAAACCCGGTGCAACCCGACCAAATATATCCCGACGCGACCCAAGCTGACCCTGACCACGACCCGACCTGACCCAAGCTCACCCTGACCCCAACCCAACCCAACCCGTGGGTCACAGCCTCCCGACCCCACCCACCCGTGACCTTTACCTTGTCCTTGAGCTCGCTCTCGCCCTGCTCGGTCTTGGCGAGGGTGAGGGTCTGGCGGTCGACGGTCAGCTGCAGCGATGCTCCCTTGTCCTCTGCGTCCTGCACCTGCTTCAGCAGGTTCTCCACACGATTCTGAAGCACCTGCAACGGACAGCACGCGTTGTGAAGTATTGTCACCGCCGCCGCCGCCGCCGCGCCGCGCACGTTCGCTTGTTTGTCGCCACTGCAGCACGGACGCGCGAGGTAGTCGTCGTCGTCGTCGTCGAAGAAGAAGGCGTTCTCTTGTCGGTCGCCATCGGAGCACCGACGCGTGAGGTACCGACGGTCGGGCGAATAGACAGTAGCAACATACACACCCGACGGTCGGGCGAATAGCCTCGGCCATGTTCACACGTTTAGCTGTCATTCTTTGGACGTATATGAGCAGACTGCGTATGTAACTGTGTACGTCATCGTCTAGTGTTTTTCACGCACGACAAGATTAGCAGGAGAGCCGAGACACTTTTACGGGAGACGGTCACGATATATCGTCAGGAGTAGGATCATAACTTACTACAAGATATTTGACTTTACTGTCGATGTCGTTGCTTTGTTACTATACTCCTGATCTAGGAATTTTTACCGTTATTACTCTGCTTGGTTATTTCCTTTCGTTTGCCTGACATCCCCAAGATTTGACTTCTGCAGCTGACCTTGACGGCATCTCACGCTGCAGTTGCTGCACCTTCCCCTGCCTCTCCCTCCTCCCTCCTCCTCCTCCTCCCTCCCTTCCTCCCTTCCTCCTCCCTCCCTCTCTCCTCCCTCACCTGCATCCATCCAGCTTCTCTTGCAGCACGCGGCGGTCGTTTTCGCTAGCGCTGAGCTCACGCTGCAGCTGCTGCACCTTCCCCTCCCTCTCCCTCCCTCCTCTCCCTCCTCCCTCCCTCCCTTCCTCCTCTCTCACCTGCATCCATTCTATTCTCTTGTAGCACGCGACGGTCGTGCTCGTTAGCGCTGAGCTCACGCTGCAGCTGCTGCACCTTCCCCTCCCTCTCCCTCCTCCCTCCATCTTCCTCCTCCCTCACCTGCATCCATCCAGCTTCTCTTGCAGCACGCGGCGGTCGTGCTCGCTAGCGCTAAGCTCACGCTGCAGCTGCTGCACCTTCCCCTCCCTCTCCCTCCTCCTCCTCCTTCCTCCTCCCTCCCTTCCTCCTCCCTCACCTGCATCCATCCAGCTTCTCTTGCAGCACGCGGCGGTCGTGCTCGCTAGCGCTGAGCTCACGCTGCAGCTGCTGCACCTTCCCCTCCCTCTCCCTCCCTCCTCCTCCTCCTCCCTCCCTCCCTCCTCCCTCACCTGCATCCATCCAGCTTCTCTTGCAGCACGCGGCGGTCGTGCTCGCTAGCGCTGAGTTCACGCTGCAGCTGCTGCACCTCCTCCTCCCTCTCCCTCCCTCTGCCTCCTCCTCCCTCCCTCTCTCCCCCCTCACCTGCATCCATCCAGCTTCTCTTGCAGCACGCGGCGGTCGTGCTCGCTAGCGCTGAGTTCACGCTGCAGCTGCTGCACCTTCCCCTCCCTCCCTCCCTCCTCCTCCCTCACCTGCATCCATCCAGCTTCTCTTGCAGCACGCGGCGGTCGTGTTCGCTAGCGCTGAG